CGCCCCGCCCGGTCCCGCCGCCTGACTCGGTACCAACCGCACCCGCCACCTTAAAGCTGCTGCGGTATCGCCTTATCCACTGCCCAGCGCCGCCCCAGGGGACAGCCAGGGGACAGCCCACCCGGCCCCGGGCTCACCTGCCCCGTGTCCCCCCGCCCCCGGGGACAGCTTTGTCCCCCAAGCTTTGGCTTTCCCAGTGGCTCTGGGCCAGCCTGCTCCCCCTGTCCCCGTGTCACCTCGGGCCCCTGCTCACAGCCTTCACCTCGGCCTAGCCCTGCTCTAAGGGAAGAGGAAAGGGGGGCCACTGGTGCCAGCCCCCCCAGCTGCCCCGCTCTGGGGGACAGGGCTGCTTGATGGCTTGGTTGGCACGGAGGGACAGCAGCTCCCGGGGGGCACAGGGCACCGAGGGGATGGAGGGGCAGCCCCCACCCTGCTCCGTCTGCAGGGGGACTGAACTTGTCAGTGCCCAGCCCCGTGTCCCCACCCTGTCCCCACGGAGTGACACCAGGAATCCTGGCCCTGGGCAAAGTCCCTGGAACCCCAACTTGGAGGTCGGGTCCCCCTGGCTGTTGGCCCTGGAAAGCAATAATGACTGTCCTGTGCCTGTGGCACCTCCCACCCCATCACAACAGCACTGTCCCTGCTGCTACTTTGGCCCCTGATGCCACTTGCTTGTCTGTGGTGTCCCCGTGTGCCCAGGTGTCCCTGGCCCTGCTGTGTCCTGGCAGAGCATCCCTGTGTGTTCTCCAAGGGTGTCCCCATCCATGCTGCTTCTCAGTGAAGCGCTGCTGTGTGTCCCCACCTTCCCCTGGGATGTCCCCACCTTCCCCTGGGATGTCCCCACCTTCCCCTGGGCTGTCCCCACATTCCCCTGACATGTCCCCATGGGTGTTGCTGCCCTCAGGAGCACTGCAGCTTGTCCCCCCTGGGCTGTCCCCATCTGTGCTGCTTCCCCCCAGAGCACTGTGCGGTGTCCTTGTGTCCCCCCAGGATGTCCCCACCCCCATTCCTGCCCTGCAGGGCACTGTGTTGTGTCCCTGTGTCCCCCCAGGATGTCCCCAGCTGTGTTGCTTCCCAACAAAGCCCCTCTGTGTGTCCCCAGGGGGAGCCTGGCCCGCACCTCCCAGTATCCCTGAGGAGCTGGATCCCAAGCCCTTCAGCTCCTGCTCCCTCCTGGCTGTGGGGAGGGACAAAAGGGGTTGGCGAGGCACAACTGGGAGCACTGGGATCACTGGAGGCTCGCTGGCAGAGGGGTGTGTCCTGTCCCCACCAGGGCCACCCAAGCTGGGGTCCCCCAGGTGGGTTCACCCCTGGTGGGGGCTGTGCCTGGCCAGGGTGGCTCATCAGGCACGTGCCCCCCCATGTCCCTGTGCCAGCCGGGGGGTCCCCGTGGGCAGGGCCCTGCAGGGTGTATTAGTGCTTTCCTTTTTTTAATCTGGCTATTTTCTTACAGAAGCCCCTCCTCCCTTGGCATGACAGTCCTAGAGGCGTTTGTTAACGGATAGAAGCAGAGTATAGGTTTATAAATTCTTATAGAGTTAGTGGAAATATTTTTATCCCTCCACAACCGTTCTGAATAAATAACGGCTGACCCGGCTTGTCTGCAACCCCGAGTGGCTTCTGCACCAACACCCACGTCCCTGGGCATCCCACATGCCCACATCCCTTGGCATCCCATGTCCCTGGACATTCCCACATCCCTGGGCTGGCAGGGACTTGCCCTGTGGCCTCTTGTTCCCCGTTCCAGTTTCCTTGGCAAAAGCTCAAAATAGATACTGGGGGGTTTGTGCTGCTATGCCTGGCTGGGGATGTGTCACGCTTTAAGCCCCCCAAGTTCCTGGCTCTACCATTTCTCTTGGCTAAAGTGGCCAAAGCACTTCCCAGGGGTTCCCCAGATTCCTTGGCACAGCCAAGTGCCCAAGGCACACTGGGTTGGGGTTTCCACCACGGGGAGGGTGCAGCTGATGGGTTGGAGGGAAGAGGGGGCACCCAGTGGGACTGTGAGAACCTCAGCAGGTTCAACCAGGCCAAGGGCAAGGGCAGGGACCGGGGCAGGGCGATCCCCGGGGCCAGCAGAGACGGAGGGAGGGATGGGTGGATGGATGGATGGATGGATGGATGGATGGATGGATGGATGGATGGATGGATGGATGGATGGATGGAGAAGGACTGGGTGCTCCTGAGGGTTGGAGCTGGGCCACGACATCACCTCCCTGGGGTCCTTCCCTTCTCTGCCTCAGCCCCATCTGTGACTGGGGATGCCAATTCCTGCCCTTCACCAGCTCAGGCCCCACCATCCTAACCATTAACCCCCCTGGCAGCAACATGGGAATGGGAAATGCTGGAGCTTCCTGGGGTGGAAGCAGCTCCCACCCCAAAGGCTGGGCTGCAGGAACCTCCCACAAACCACCCCTGCAGCAACCAGAGGGTTCCTCTGCCTGCCCTTCCCTCCCCAGAACAGCCAACAGAGACTCTGCTTTGGGCCTCTTTGGCTTCAGACAGGCTGATTTATCCAGTTCCACTTCTCCCCAGAGCATGAAACCCAGTGCTGAGGCTCCAGCGACAGCCCCAGCTGTGCCTACCCTTCATTCCATCTCATTTTCATCACACCTTCAAAAAGAAAAAGTCCCAAACCCACTCAGTCCCAGCCTTTCCAAGGCACAGATATTTCCACGTGGCAAACACTTCCATTCCCTGAGGTCCTAGTTTAGTTTTCTCACCAGTGCTGCCACTGGTTGCAGACATCCCTGCTGGAGCTCCAGCCAGGCTGGGAGGAAGGGAAAAAGGGTTTCTGAGGGCTCAAAAGGAGATCTCTCACCTCCTCCCCTGGGCTGTGCCACTGATGACTGACACCTAAGGAAAGCACAAGTGGTGTCAGCTCAGCCCTTGCCTTGCCTTGCCTTCCCTTCCCAAACCTTACCTTTCATTCCCAAACCTTCCCCTCCCAAACCTCCCTTTCCCAAACCTTCCCTTTCCCAAACCTTCCCTTCCCAAACCTCCCTTTCCCAAACCTTCCCTTTCCCAAACCTTCCCTTCCCAAGCCTTCCCTTCCCAAACCTTCCCTTCCCCTTTTCCTTTTCCCTTCTCCCTTCCGCCTTCCCTTCTCTCTTCCCTTTCCCTGCCCTCATTTATTCCTCCTATCATTCCCAATAGCCTCCCCCCTGGCAGACCCCCTGCAGCCCCACCTTTCCCCGCTCCTTCCAGACCCCCAAGCCTGCGGCTCCTTCCCCCTCTCCTCTCCTCCCTCCCTCTCCTCCCCTTGTCACATCCATTGCCGGCGCCGCCTCTCCCGGATCCAGGGGAGCCAGGAGCAGTCACTCCCATTGCACCCGGCGCCGTCTGCGTGCCCGGGAGCTGCTGCCTGGGGGGTGACAGCCCTTCCACTGGCCTTGGAAACGTCAGGAGGGTTTGGGATGCAGTGTCTGAACGCACCCAGGGAATGATCCTGATGGAGCAGGGCCAGCCCAGGTGACTCCGCTCGCAGCTGGGGGAGTTCAGGGAAGCCAAAACCCCAGAGCTGTGGTTGTGCTGCTGCTCTTCCCCTCCTGCAAGGGCAGCTGAAACATCCCAGAATTACCTGGCAGCTGGAAAATGGGCCTCAGAGCAGATCCTCCATCCAGCTCTGGCACAGAAAAGTCTTCAAGCCCTCTGTGGCTTCTCCGTTCCCCACACCCCGAGTGGGAAAACCAGACCAAGAGCCACTTCTCAGGCTGGGAGAGCTGGGGGGTTCACCTGGGCAAGAGAAGGCTCCAGGGAGACCTGAGAGTCCCTGGCAGGGACTAAAGGGGCTCCAGGAGAGCTGGAGAGGGACTGGGGACAAGGTATGGAGGGACAGGACAAGGAGGAATGGCTTCAAAGTGTCAGAGGGCAGGGATAGATGGGATATGGGGAAAGGATTCCTGGCTGTGTGAGGAGGTTCCTGGAGCTTCCTTGAAAACACTCAGGTTGTGCTGTGTTCTGACAGTACAATTTTCATGGCACGTGAGACCCACCAAGAACATTCCGGGTGACCTGCCAGTGGGCTCAGAGGGTTGGCAGAGCCAGCCATCCCCCCCTCAGTGATGATGCCACCAGTGATGTCAGCACAAAGCACGGGCAGAAATGGCAGTGAAAGGCTGCTCTGCTGCTGATATTCCCCTGGAAGTGGCCCAGGTGCCACTGTCCTGGATCTCTATCCAGGGCCAGAGGCAGAACCTTGGACAAACAGCACCACTCTGCTGGACCAGAGCAGAGGTGACAAGGTGGCCTCCATGGGTGGGTGTCCATGGCCCGTGGGCAAGGCTGAGGGTCCCACCCTGGAGCCCAGGGCTTGCTGCAGCACCCTCTGCTGTCCTGGGCCAGGCTGGGGACCCCTGAGCTCCAGCCCCTCCTGTAGCCCTCAAGTGACACCTGGGGCTTGCTGCAGCTCAGGCTTGTGAGTGGGAGTCACACGAGGGACCAGGGAGGGGAGGGGCACCAAGGGTCTGCAGGCAGGTCAGGCAGCCCCAGGCTAGGGGCTTCAGCTCAGCTTTGGCTCTTTCCAAGGCAGGGCCTGCCCTTCTGCTCCCAAAAACATTCACCCCGAGGGCCACACGGGTCTCAGCCTCTTCCCCAGGTTTCCCCATCGCTGCCTCAGACAGACACCAGCCTGTTGGGGTCCCCGAGCTGGCTGGAGGGGCAGAGGTCCCAGAACTGTCTGGGGCAGCAGGAGTTGGCCTCAGAAGAGCACGGGGGAGAAGGCCAGCCTGACCCCAGCTTGGGGAAGCTGTGCCCAGCCAGCCCATCCCCACCTCTGCAGGGAGAGCAGCTGGGTGAGGGGCAGGGGCTGCCCCCAAACCCAGCCCAGCCCCCCAGTGCGAGACCCCCAGTGCTCTGGGGACAGAAGGGACAAAAAGAGTACCCATTCCAGCTTCACCACAGCACTGGCAGGAATGAAGAAGCTCTGCTTTAATAAACTAAACCTGTCGGGGAAGGGGAACTGGGGCTGTCCTGGGGCTCCCAGAGCTGCCACGGAGATGTCACTACTTCTTTTTGCGGCCTTTGGTGTTCATTCGGATCAGCTGCAGCCCCTCCTTCTTGATGTCCTCACGGCTCGGGACGTAGTCGTGCTCTTCCTCCTCCAAATCCAAGGAGACTGGAGGGAAGAGCGGAGTAGAGGTGGGTGGGAGGCTCTGGGGTCCATCCCTGCTGTGCCCAAGTCCCCAGCAGAGCCAGCAGGGTTTGGATCTGGGGGGATCCCAGAGATTTGGAAGACAAGCGACTCCCTACCTGCCCCATGGCATCTCTCCTTGTTCCTGCTGTGGCCTGATGCTCATCACCCCCCACACCTGCCTTCCTTCTCCCACAGTCCCACCTCAAACCACCCTCCCCGTGCTCAAAGCCCTGGGGACAGCCAAGGGCTGGGACAGTCTCTGTGTCCCCGCTGCGCTCTCCTACTGGGGGGTGCAGTGTCCTCAAAGGAGATCTTCAGGTTCCGTGTCTCAGCCGCAACTGATTTCTCCAGGAGGTCTCGGACCTTGGCAAAAGTCTGGGAGAGACACCCTGGGTAAGTGCTGAAGGCAGGGCAGGTGTTCCAGCCCAGGGGGTGCCCCACCTCGATAGTGTGGGGACACCCCCCAGCTCCCAGGGCCATCTGGGGCTCAGCTGCTCCAGGGCTCTTCCCTGGGGCCACCTCCCTGCTCTGGCTGAGGGAGGATGACTGGGATGGGCTGGGAGAGCCCTGGGGGGGTCCCCGAAGGTACAGCAGGGACGGAGGGACGGACCTCACTGTCCTTGTCGTAGGTCCTGGCGCTGGGGGGGCGCTCAGACACCCTCTGCTTCAGGTACCGCATCTTCTCCTCAACCACCCGGAGCTTCTCCTCCACCCCCACGGGCCGGGCAGACTCTTCCTGCAGGGAGGGAGAGGGAGAACAACCACCTCGATGGGGAGAACAGCAGAGCAAGCCCCCCCCGAGGTGGTGGTGGCTGCACCAGGGGTCACTGCGCTGTCCCACCCCGCGGGGGCCATGTGGGCACCTGGCCGGGGATGGTGATGCCGCGCAGGCGGACGACCAGGTTGTCGATGGCGTTCTCAAACTCGATCAGCTGCTCCTGGTTCCTCATCATCTCTGCCCGCCGCTGGTCCCGCCGGGCCTCCACCTCCTGCAGCTTCGCCCTCAGCTCCTCCACCCGCAGCCTGGGGCCAACACACCCGTCACACAACTGCCCAGGGGGCAGGGACACCCCACAGATCCGCTGCAGGCACCCCAAATCTACTGCAGGTACCCCCCAAATCTTCTGCAGACACCCCACACCTGCTGCAAGCACCCTACATCTGCTGCAGACCCCCCAAATCTCTTGCCAATGCTGCTTGCAACCCAACTCCGTGCTGCTGCCACCACTCCCCGTGCCAGGCAAAGAGCAAGGGTGCCCCCAGGGCCACACTGGGAGCTTTGGGTGCTGTGCCAGGAACAGGGTGGTGGGATCACCCTGCTCAGGAATCCCCCCAATGCAGGAGGGGTGGGTGGCTGCAGCGGGATGGAGCTTGGGGTGCCTGTTGGGACGTATCCCCCCCAGATGGTGGCCTGGTTGGCAGGGCTGCCCCAAGACCAGCAGCACCTGGCTGTGCTGAGAGGATCCTGAGCCTTCAGCTCCGCCCGCTTCATCTCCAGCTCCTTCAGGGTCTGACTCAGCACCTTCCCCTCCTCCTCGCACTTCTGCACATACTGCTCCAGCTCCTCCAGGGACTTGGACTGTGCCACGAGGCTGCCCGGGATGTCCTGGCCAGGGGAGAGCAGGAGGGCTCTGCCCACGGTGCTCCTGCTGGGGGCACCTCGGGGAGGTCACAGCTGCAATCCCGTGCCATGGACGAGGGCAGCTCCGTGTCTGCCCACACAGGAGACACTTTAGGGGGGCTCCAGGGAGAGCAGAGCGGACAAACCCCCCAGTGAAACAAGGGCAGCAGAGAGGTCTCAGCTCCCCAGCGTGGGGCAGCCCCAGGCTTGAGCAGGGAGGGGTTTTCATTACCCAGATGCTGCAGCACTGCAGGGCAGCCCTGGCCTTCTCCAGCACGTTGTTGAGAAAGGCCTCGCGCTCCATCTCAGTCCGGGCAGCCTCCGTGTCGGCCCCTGGGGTGGGAGGGGAAGGGGAGGGGAGGATGTGCCGGTGGCAGTGCCCACAGCCCGGCCCTGCCCCCTGCCAGGCACTCACCCCCCGTGGCATCCGAGGAGCTCTGGGCTTGCTCTGCGGACAGCATGGACGCTGCTTGCTGCAAGGACAGTCACTGTCACCCCCCTGCTGCCACCGGGGCAGCTGCCCCTGCAGCCCCCACCCCGGGGGGCTCAGCACCGCTGGCTTGCACCCACCCACAGCCCTGCACCCCCAGCTCACCTCTCTCAGCTGCCTTTCCGTCTCTACCTCTTGCTCGAGCTTCTCGATCTTCTCCCTCTGCTCCAGCAGGGTCTGCTCCCTCAGGGACCTCTCCAGGGGGACCTGGCGTCCTGTCTCAGCCGTGAGTTTCTGGAGCACAGCAGAGGAGGGACAAGTTGCTGCCAAAGTCAGCTGGAGCTTTCTTCAGATTGCTTGCTAGGTTTAGAGGATTGGTTTAAGATGGGCTATTGGGAAGCAAGTGTTCCCTGGGAGGGTGGGCAGGCCCTGGCACAGGTTGCCCAGGGAAGCCGTGGCTGCCCAAGCCCTGCAAGTGTCCAAGGCCAGGTTGGATGCGCCTTGGAGCAACCTGGGACAGTGGAAGGTGTCCCTGCCCACGGCAGGGGGTGAAATGAGATGATCTTGAAGGTCCCTTCCAACCCAACCCATTCCATCAATCGAGGATTTGGGAGCCAGCTGAGCTTTTGGGATGGCCAAAATATCCAAAATAACCTCATTGCACACAAACAGGCTGGGAAGGAAGGTGGGAAAGGCAGACTGGGCCATGGAGCAAGCTGCCTTCCCCATGCCTGGTGCTTCACTCAGGCTGTCCCCAGCCCCAGGGCAGCCTGGCCCAGCAGGAGCTGTGCAGGCATCTGGGTGCTGTGGGCAACTCCAGCTCCGTCTCTTGTGCTCTTGACTGAAGGGATGAAGTGCTGTCTGGGGGCGCTGGAAGGTGCCAAGGGGTCCCAAGGTCCTTGTCCCAAGTCTCACCTTGATGACATCACCAGCTTTCAGGTTTTGCTGGGCTGTGAGCTCCTCATGGAACATGGCACTTGTGCCACTCATGAGGTCCAGGTGTCGAGGCAGGTAGAACAGCTCCTGGGACACAGGGAACACAGCAGGTCACGCCTCGCGCCCTGGGGGTCCCCCAGGCTGTGACAGGGGATGGGGGGAGCAGGAGGACACAGACACAGCCCCTTGGGCACTTGGTGCCTCTGCAGGGGGAGCAGGTGGGATGATGGCACAGTGAGCAGGAGCTCACCTTCTTCAGGATGTCCTGCACCTGCAGGTACATGTTGGTCACCCTCTCGCCAGCCTGAATTTTCATGTTCATCTTCTCCAGTTCGTTGCCCAGCTGGCGAATGGCCTGGGGCAGACACCGGGGGAGGACATGAAGTGACTCTCTGGGCCATACCCAGTGCCCAGCTGGGGGCTGCAGGATTGAACCCCACACCAAGAGCTCCGGGGTACCTGAAACTGTGGCTGCTGCAGCTTATCATCCACCTCAGCATCCTTGAGCTGCTGCAGGTACCTCTGGCGATCGTCCCGGGCCTTGGTCCACAGCTTCACCTGGTGGTCCAGCATGTCTAATACCTTCACCTGGTCATGGACCTCTGCCTCCAGCCTCTTCTGGGCTGCCTGGATGGGCATGGGAATATTTAGCAAGCTGGATGCTGCAGGAAAAGGGGGTCCTACCTGGGAAACTCCCCCAAAGTAGAGCTGGGGACACCGGGACGTTGCTGCGGGACATTGTCACGCCTTTGACAGGCTGGCATGTGGGAGAGCTTTGCTGGGGTGAGGCAGAAGTGGGAAGGGCTAGGCTGGCCTTAGGGACTCTGCAGAACACAGATCCAGGGCTGGGGTCAATCAAATCGACCAGTGCCCCAGCTGTGGGTGTTGTCAGAGCGGCAGCACCGCTCTGGCCCTGTGAGAGGCCCCCAGGCAAAGGCAGTTCCTCCATCTCCATGGGCTCAGAACCAGGCCACAACCTTGGGACAGGCAGTGAAGGACAGCGATGGTATCTCTCTCCCAGGGATGCATCCTAGGACCCCAGGAACCCAGGCAGTGCCAGGCTGGGACAGCCAGGAGGTCACTGGGGCCGGGGGTCTGCTCAGGGAGCTGAAGGAGGACCTGTATGGATGGGTCCTGTGGTGGAAAGGGACCCTCAGCACTCCCGCCAACACCCTGGGAATCACCACAGCGGCCCTGGGGGGCTGTCCTTGTGCTGGCACCACATCCCTCTGCCATGCACTGCTCTTGGCAGTGTTCCCAGAGCCCCAGCTCCCCAGGGGCTGAGCAGCCCGTCCCACCAGACCCTGCTGGTACCTCCAGGCTCTCAGTGGCCGCAGCAGCTGTTTTCCCCGCTTCGAAGGCATCGTTCGCAGGGAGCCTGTTGTACTGCGGGCAGGAGAGGGACAAAGGACTGTCACTGCCAGCCTGGCAACAGCCACATCCTGCTGCTGGCTCCTGCAAGGGAGTGCTGCAGGAGCTGCTGGAGCAGGGCTGCAGCAGGCGGGGGGAGCCTTTTGGTACCTTCAGCACAAAATCCAGGACACGGGCATCCTCCTGCAGCGCCTGCTGCAGGCTGGGCAGCAGCTGTCTGTTCTGCCGGAGCTTCTCCTCACACGACTGCGAGAAAATCTGCAAGCCTTTGGCTGCAGGACATCAAGGGCTCATTGGTAACGTGCAGGACGACGGTGAAGGGCCCCGAGCCCGTCCCCGTCCTCGCCAGGCCGAGGGGCAGCACCTTGCAGGGCGACGAGGTCGCGCAGCTCCCGGCAGCGCTGCTCCAGCCCGGCCTTCTTGCCCTGTGTGCCGCCAGCACCGCCGCCCTGGGCCCTCAGCCCTGCATCTGCCATCCTGGAGCCAGGAGGAGCAGCCACGGTGGCCTCACAGCCCGGGGAGGGAGTCACAGCGCTGGCACCCCTCCAACGGCCGCCCCCCGGAACCGGCCCCGGGGCACCTCCAACTGCCACCCCACACGGGACTCCTGCTCTGCCACGGGCCCTACAGGCCACACATTAATTAGCAACTGATTAATGAGAGGGAGAAGGATTCCAGTCTTATTTCCTATTGCTGTGGCAACAGCAGTTGTCACCTGGCCAGTCACGGGCCATTCTGACCCCCACCAGGAACAGAGGGGCAATTCCAGGGAAAACACGTGTACACCCAACACACCAGCAGTGCTCTCCAGGAAGCTGCCAGCTCATTTACATGCCCACCTCTGGAAATTCTACTTAATTAGCCAGGAAATCGTTGTGCAAGGAATTCTACTCCTGCAGAACAGGCAAAGCCAAGGCATTACCAATACTGAGCTTTATTTTGATGCTCACCAGACATTCTCGCTGAACTACAAATATGACAGGAAATGCCAGCGTGTCCATTTATTTGTTGATAAATAAACCCAAGCTCCCTCCAGCAGAGAAAATCCTTAATGTTTGGATTTGCAGAAAAAAAGGGTTTCATAAGGAAATTGCCTTCCTTGCACCAAGCTCCTAAATCAGCTCAGATGAAGGTTCTGTAACTCCAGATCTTCGTCCTGCAGCCACCCTGTTGTGCTCAAGGTGTTGAACATGGAAAACATAGAAATTAAAGGCTTGTGAAATCAAGTGTTACCCACACAAGATCCTCTGAGGCTCTTGCTCAGCATCTCATTTGTGTATTTATGAACTGCAGGTTAGTGCTAATTGCCAGTGACAAGCTAAGTATCCACATGATCATCCTCAGTGCTTCCTGAAGCGTGCACGGGGAGATGGCGCCGGGAAAGCAGCAGTTCAGGGCTGTACCCACAGAGATCTCCGCACTGAGCCTGTGTTCACGTGGCCAATCCAGTAATTACACCACTGAATTTCCTGGGCAGCATTTAAACCCCCTGGGGGCAAGAGAGCGTTTTAAAACGGATCAAGTGGTTCAAGAATCGCTGTTGCACCTGCCCTCAGCAAAGCTCAGGCTCTGGAGTGGCAAGTCCTCCCCAAATCCCGCTGAAGGAGTTGATGCTGGCCTTGCACGAGCACAAATCAGCTTCCCAGGTGAAGCCTTGGACTGGGGATCCACCTGACATGCCAGACCTCCCCTCCCTCCAGCCGATTTCCACCCTGCTGAAATCCTGGGAAATTCACGATGAGGCCAAGGCCCAGAGGAAAAGGTCAGGAGTCCAAACTTGAGCTCAGTTTAACTGTCAGAGGGTGAGCTCTGGAAGGCAGCAGGAACCAGGGACCACCACACACTCACCTGGGAGAGATCTAATCCTTGGCTGGATTTATCCCCAGCTCCTCACCTGCTGCCTACTGTCAGCACGGAAACGGGAATGTAACGTTAAAGGCTCCCATTAGCTTTTAGTCACTGAACCAGCTCTGCTTTGCCCGGTGCTTCTTATTTTTAGTATCTCCTTCCCCCATCACTGTCCTCCCTTCCCCTCCCCTCTGAAACCCCTCCCAATCATTTGTTTACCACAGCTGCAAGAAGATTGAACACAATTAGCAGGAACTCCATCCCGTGCCCTAGGAGCTGGCTGGAAATTCCGTGCCTGGATTAGAGAGAGCAGCACAAAGAGACAGAGGATAAAGGCCAGCTGCCAGAATTGGTCTGTGCTGCGCTAAAAAGTAGAGGGGCACACACAAACAATTCCTGCTGGGAATTACAGCCCAACAAAAGCCCGTCTGGCTCCATGGCCAGAGGCCACCACTGCCTGTTTGAGATTGATTTTATAATGTGAACAGAGAGAGCAGCTCCCAAGCACAGGCTCAGCCCACAAAAAGCCTTACCACAGCCAGGGATATCTCCTATACTATTAACAAAAATAAGTATTTTCTTTATCTATAATATATAAATAGATGATCATTTGCTTTTATTAATATAGCTAAATATATCTTATTCATAAGTTATTTGGAGAACATAATTTCTAAGTCAGCAAATGCTGTTATATCCAGTGAAGGAAATCTTTACTAACGGTCCTTTGAAGTACTTTAATTGCCAAACAGCCAATTATGGAAGTCTAAGTCAGTTTTCACGCTGCCAAGAGACTGATTTTTGGACATGATTCACACTTTGCACCTGTCAGAAGTGAAAATGCAGGTTTTTTTAAAGGTTCCTCTCCTCACACACAAGCCCCCTCCTCAGTGGCCAGTGCAATCTTCCACTCAACACTGACAACCTCAAAAATATCATTTAAACAACTTCAACAGCAACCCTGAAACGAAAGCAAAGCCAGAGCGACCTCCTGCCACATCCTAACTCAGTCCTTATTAGTGCAACCCTGACACAGGACCTTCCTACAGGCAAAGACATCTGTAACCCAAACAAGTGTAGAATGATAAAAAAAACACCCCTACGCTGCACGGAAAAATCCCAAAGGATCAGTGTCAGAAAATGTTTGGCAGCAAGAGATTGGAAAAAACCCATGAAGGCCAAACAGAAGAGAGTGTGGCAACACCAGTCATTTCAGGGCAGGCTGTCGAAGCAGAACTGCTGCAGGGTGGTTTTGTTATTCCAGCTTTTCATCCCCTTCCTCCACATCCTTCAGACTGAGCACTTCCAGGGATCCCCTCCCTTTGGTCTCACTGCGGATCAGCTCGTCGATCTCTCGGAAGCAGCCGGGGTCAACAAGGCACACCTGGAATGTTCCACATGTCACAGTCAAGCAGGAATATTGGAATGTCATCAGCCCCTAATCAAGGCCTAACATTAATTCTCGTTAAAAAAAACCATTTAGATACTAAGAAGGCCTTTGCAGAGTTGATAAACAGCATCTATCAGGTAGTCTAATCTTTCCACTGAATTTCTGCAGCTCCAGTTCCCCATGCTGGACATGGCTTTTTCCAGGTGGGATTGCTGGATTCTAATCTGTTCCCAAAGAAGATTCTTACTAATACCAAATTTTGCTTTAGCATAGACTTAAAAAAGTAATAAGTAATCACAAATAAATATTAAAATATAATAAAATAATAAAATAGAGGCCTGAGCCACCACATAAATAACAGTAACATTCCACATATGCAGATAAACTTACCAGTGTGGCAGGATAATCAATACTAAGAGAAATTGCACTGTGCTTCTGCTCAGCTTGGAGCAGCAATCTGTGGGTAATAAAGGCTCACAATCCCTAGGATTGTGTGAAATTAAAAACCCCAAACAGCAGCTCTGATTCAGGATCTCGAGTAAACCTGCAGTTCCACCTCCCACCTCTGAGTTCACCTTCTATTAAAATATGTAGTCAAGTCAAGTACGAAGCCCAGGGGCTGCTTTTTACTTACAATTTCCAGCTGCTCCTGGAAGTCCTCGCTTTCTATAACTTTAATCAGGGGCTTGAGCTTCTCTTTCAGTTTCTTGCCCTCCTTTGGTGGGAGGAGAAACCTCAGCCTCATGTGAGCACGTTCAATTTGCATGGTCTCCTTCAGCTGCCTGATCACTTCCAGGGCCTGTGAGGACATGAAGAGCATTTACACACCTGCTTCAGAACCACTCCACACATCAAAATCCCCAACCCTTTGCATCAGCTTCAGACCCATCTCTCAGTGCTGGTCACTGGCACTCTGCTGCAGGGAGGTTGTTGTCACACCCTTTTTGACAGATTAACAAGAAAAAGCAGAGTTCTTGCTGTTTGTGATCACTTCAAACACTTAAAAACCTGAAATAAAATTAAATAGCAGTTACACTGCAAAACACCACAAACCAATGTGGTTCAGATGCAAAGCCTGATATAACACCTCAGTTAGAATAAATCACAAACCTTTGATTTTTTGTTTCAGGTGTACCACTGTTGCTGTTTTATTTCAGTTTCTTTCTTTCCCCCTTCCCCGAATTTTTTAGAAAACAAAGTGCCTGAGTTTCAGGAGCTGCTTGTATTCAGCTGCCAGATGTCTGAGTAATCCCTGTGAGGGCTCAGGTGCTGATCCCTGTGTGACAGGGAGCTGAGGAATTACACCAGAGCACGGCACCTCAGAGCAGGAGCTGGTGTTGCAGGAAGACTCACCTGCTGCTTGGTGCTCTTGTTGGGTTTGACAGAGTAGTGGATGTCCTTCATGGCTCTCTCGATGAGGATCACTGTGTAGGGCCTCTTTGTTTCAGGGTTCACACATTTGTCAGCCACGATGGTGGCGATGTCTCGGAACATCTGCTCCAGCTGAGTGTGGCGCTCCTTGTCTGACACCTGCAGCTCCCCTTTGGATAAAATCTGCATTGGAACAACAAAGAAATCAGTTAATCAACATCATGGATGTGAAGAGTGAAAATTCCAGTAACTCTGTTAAATTTAATCATTGTTTGAATGGCCTGAGTAGATGTGAAGTGCAGAAAACAACAACGTTAATAAAGTAAATTGTTATGACAGCTCTGGAAAGACTTCAGACAAAAAACTCACCATGGAAACACTGAACTACAGTGAGGGAGGCACAGATCTCACAGCATCATGGAGTATCCTGAGCTGGAAGGGACCCACAAGGATCATGAAGTCCATCTCCTGACCCTGCACAGACAACCCAGCAATCCCCCCCTGTGCCCCAGAGGATCATCCAAACCCTCCTGCAGCTCTGGCAGCCTTGGGGCTGTGCCCACTGCCCTGGGGAGCCTGTTCAGTGCCAACCACCCTCTGGGGGAAGAACCTTTGGCTGAGATCCACCCTGAGCCTGCCCTGACACAGCTCCAGCCATTCCCTGGGGGCTGTCCCTGCTCACAGAGAGCAGAGATTGGAGCTGCCCCTCAGGAAAAGCTACAGCCTGTGATGAGGTTTCCCCTCAGTCTTCTCTTCTCCAGTTGAACAGGCCGAGTGCCGTCAGTGTCCTCACACGGCTTCCCCTCCAAACCATTCTCCATCCTCGTGGCCTCCTTTGAATGCTCTCTAACAATTTCATATCTTTCTTATATTGCAGTGCCCAAACTGCCCCAGTGTTGAGGTGAGGCCACCCCAGGGCAGAGCAGAGCGGGACAATCCCCTCCCTGATGCCCCCAGGACAAGGTTGGCCCTCCTGGCTGCCAGGGCACTGCTGACTCAAGAGATTTACTTGAATTTTTATCACCCACAACAAGCCCATAGTTCCTATCCTACACAGAAGGATCAAGAGATTGGATCTGTTATTTACACTTATGTGAATTGTCCAAAGTAAGCAACTATCCACTTATCTTACGCGAGGAACTCTTCAATGCTTGACATCAGTGCAGAGAAGCTGTGTGTTAGAACATTCAGAACTCTTTTCAGCCAGATGCATATGTAAAACTTAAGACTATAAAACAGAGTTTCTCCCCTGCTTTTTACTCATTTCATAACAAACAACTACAGCAGCATTCTGCAAACAGTACAGACCAACCTACTGTGTTACTGTAGGTCTTCTATAAGCTTTTGTAAAGCAAAACCTACCATCTTACAGATTTCTGTTTGGTCATCCGTCCCAAATGCCTGAACCAGATCTTCCTTCTTCGCCACCTGGCCTTTGGAAACGTTGACAAACACTGTATGTGTCTGCAGGACCTCGTCGAGATCTTTCTCCCTAAAGACAAGAACAGGGTTAGAAAACCTCACAGAATCATCCCAGAATGTGATGGGCTGGAAGGGACCTCAAAGATCACCCAGATCAACCCCCTGCCGTGGGCAGGGACACCTCCCACCAGCCCAGGTTGTTTCAAATCCTGTCCAGCCTGGCCTTGGACACTTCCAGGGATCCAGGGGCAGCCACAGCTTCTCTGGGCAACCTGTGTCAGGGCCTCGCCAGCCTCACCGGGAAGGATTTCTCTCTAATATCCCTTTTAACCCTGTCCTCTGTCAGTGTGAAGCCACTCCCCCTTATCCTGCCACTACAGGTCCTTGTCCAAAGTCCTCCTCCAGCAAAGCCACCAATGCGAGGAGCACATCAGTGTTTAACTAAAGAACACCTCCTGCTGCCCAGGGCTGGATCAGCAGCGCCTGAAAAACCTCCGTCACCGAGGTGCCACTGCCCAGGGACTCCCCTTCCCGGCCCCGCAGCATCTCCCGGGGGTCACACCCGGGCCCCTCAGGGGTCACTGCCGAGGGGGCACACGGGCTCCCTCGGCCCCTTTCCCGGCTCCCCACACGGTCCTTCCCCGCTCCCCCCCCCCCTCCCGGGCCGCCCCGCCGGCTCCCCGGGGCACTCACGCTCCGCTGCGCCAGCCCATGACCTTGTTGCGGTAGCAGGCGATCTCGAAGCGCTTCCCGGCGCGCCGGGCCCGCACCACGGCCACGTTGGTGAGGCGGATCTGGTTGGTGGGGGTGAAGATGGACATGGCGGCGGCCGCGGGCGCTGAGCGGCCCCGCCCCGGCCCGGCAGTGAATGGCGGCGGGGCGGGCCGGGCGGAAGGGGCGGGAGCGGCGCATGGCGGGCTGAGGGCAGCGCCGGCCGGGCCGGGGGGTCGGTGCGGGGCTGGGCTGGGCTGGGCTGTGGGGCTGTGGTGCCGGTGGTGGCACAGTAATGGTGAGGGGAGGGTGTGGTAACCGCGTGTGTGCGGGTGGAGTGACTCTGAGGTGGGGCTGTGGGCAGTGGGGGGGGGTGATAAGCGTGAGGGGGCTGTGTGTGGTACTGCTACTACTACTACTACTAATAACAACAAGGAGCGGGCACATAACCACGTGTGTGTGTGGAGTAACTGTGAGACAGACGGGCTGGGAACCGTGGGGGTATAGCTGTGATGCTGGCTGGGGGGGATTTGTGGGATCACAGCCGTGGAGGGGGGTTTGGGGGTCGTAACCGTGAGGGGAGAGGGTGGTAGTAGTAGTAATAATAATAATAATAATAATAATGGTGTTCACAGGCACCACAGAAGCTCATTGCTGGCTGCAGCATTCTGTTCCCTGAATGTGCTGCGCCGGCTTTGCAATATCTCAGTTGTTCCAAGTCAAACTTCACTTGCACCGTGCAATTCTGAAAAAGTGCTTCCAGCTGAACCCACGTTTCAGTCTGCCCTTGAAACTCTGTAATCAGTGCAATAGCTAATGTGTGTAAGCAAGAGCTGTGTTCAGTAGCAGGCTGTGGAGGTGATTCCCCCTTGAACCGGAGTTTTCTAGTTCCAGTAGATCTGCACTTGTGTCAAACTAAGGCCAGTACGATCCAGTGGCTGTTTCAAAAGGATTTTTTGCTTTCAGGCACTTACACAGCTCAAATATTTTTCTGCTTTTTCCTTATAACAGAGGTGTCATATAAAGAAAAAAACCCCAGAATGTTCAGGCTCAGAATCTAAAATATTAACTCGAAGCTCAGCTGACACACCTGAGGAGGTGAAGGCTTCTTGATTCAGTTTTAGTGCCTTAAGCCAAAAGCTGTTTTCTGCAGTGCCTGGGGAGCAGCTGATGCCATGAGACTGTGGGGACTTTGTGGTTGTTTTTTGTGTGCTCATTCCACATTTGGAATCTGTGGCTTATTCCAGATTTAGATGTCTCAATGGATATGTGGAGCTACTTCCATACTTGCCTGGCGTCCATATGGCTGCACAGATTTTACATCTACTCTGCTGTTGCTTTGGGGATCAGCCTGTGGATTGTCATTCAGTTCACCACCACCAAAACCAAAAAGAAGGTAACTGAACCTGTCAGCCCTTTTGTCTGAGGAGACCCCAAAACCCCATGAGTGGAAGTGAGGAGTTGCTGGGTGAAGGCACCCACTGGTGCAGTGAAATGTTCCGTGTCACTGTGGGCCCACCTAGAGGGCTGCAAATCCCAAATGCTGCTTAGTTCATGTGATTATAATCCTCAGTTTGGATTGTTTTATGTTTGAGGGTCACTAAAAGCTACTGTTGCTCTGATTTTGGAGCAGATGTCACCTGGACACTTTTCACACTGTGTCAGCCACTCCAAGTAAATCCCTCTGCTTGTGCCCTGTGTTTTCACCTTCGTGTTTGCAGTGATGTTAATGACAAGGTTGGACTGGTTTAGGTTGGGAGTGGGATTGGACCATACAGGAACTGAAAACCTCCTCGTGCAGGTGGTTGAAGTTCTGCTGGAAGAGTTTTGGAGAGTTGGATCCTTTTATCTCCCAGATGTTGCAGCATGGCTTAGGTCAGGGAAACACTTCCTGCTGGCTTTGCCTGGGTGTAAGAGGAACCCAAATGCTGTTGCATTTGTGTAGTGCTGACAGTCTGGCCACAGGATTTGAATTTTAAATGCTTTTGGTTTAACATCACTTGCAAAGGGGATTGATTGAAGGTGACACAGCTCCTGTTTCATAGGGTGAAAAATCCAGTGGGAATCCCACTTCCTCCAGAGGGACAGAAGACAAGCTGGTAAATGGATGTGCCACCCCTCAGGCAAAGGAGGTGTATGTTACTGGAGTGAAGATCTTCTATGGGTCTCAGACTGGCACAGCAAAGGTATCAGTTACTTTTGTTCCACATTTGTGAAATAGATCTGAAACATTGTTGGGATTCAAGTATGTTGCTTGTCTTAAAACACTGCACTGGGTACAGATCTGAGAGGTCATTAGGAAGTTCATTAGCTCCTTACAAGTCATTGGCCAACACGAAAGGTAAGTGAAAATTCTATAAAAATAACATTTTCCCCCCTCCTTTATGTGGGGCCTGCAGGATACTGATTATGAAACTTCAACTTTACTCTTACACTATAATTTTAATTTGCTAGCAGGTCTTCATAGAAAGAGGTGCTGGCTTTGGTGCTTTCTCGAAAAGAAATGCCATTTGTGTGTGTAAATGTATAAAGCCATTAAAATGCATGGAACTCTCAGCCAGTTGCTTCATGTTTTTCGTGTGAGGAGTTACAGGCCCAGTGTCCAGGCCTCAGGTTTTTCCTGTGCTGGGAGAGGTTTTGTGGCTGAGCACAGCAGTGCTGCCGGGTGTTGAAGTAACTGATAACTTCCTCTATGTTTCTTTTTCCAGAGGTTTGCCAAAGCTCTGGCTGAAGCTGTTACTTCCCTTAATTTGCCTGTGGAAGTCGTTAACATGGGAGACTGTGACCCAGATGACTGTTTGGCAGAGGAGGTGGGTATGGCATGAATAGCAATAGTAAATACAGGTGTTTTCCTGGGCTTGCCAAGGCTGTTTTCCTTATCTGTTTCTCTCTTCTTCTCCTGGAAGTCCCCAAAGCTGTGTGTTGGAAACTGTTCCCCTGCTACCTAAGCGAGTGTAGCCCATCAGGCCCTCAGCAGAAAATACCTAAATTTGGGAAATTACTGGGAAAGCACCACACAGAACATTTGGAAGCTGACAGTGATCTTGTATGAGCCAGTTCTGTAACTCGGGTGTGAGAGTGGCTGCACCAGGTCCCCTGTTCTCTGTGTGCACCTGGGGAAGGGTTTAGAGCCAGAACAAGCAGCTGGTGATGCTTCTGCAGGTTTTACAGGCTTACAAGTTAGAAACTCCTTGGGAGGTGTTTGCAGCAACCCTTGATGTTTTTTCTTCTGTGAATATTGATAGTTTTAATTAATCCTAACAAAATGTTTTGGTTGTGTCCCCCTCCATTGGGAACTGGGTGTTGGAAGTTCCTGAGGGTTTCAGTGTGAATTGTCAGCACTGGCTATTGCCCCTGACAAACCTGGAAATGTGAGGTTGGGAAGTTTTAGGTGTTTATCTGTGGGGGACTTTGTGGTGAAGGAG